TTCTGTCTCTATGTCTCTCTCTGTCTGGCTGGCGAGCGCACGCACCCTATAGCAAAAAACCTCTCAAAAAAAAAAAAAAAGAAAAGAAAGAAAGTTTAACCACTTTTTATGGTAAAGAGCCAGGTAGTGAACAATTTAGGCTTTGTGGGCCACATGGTGTCTGCTCAGCAACTTGACCCTGCTGCTCTAGTGCAGATGTAGCACAATGGGTATCTGCGTTCCAATCACACTTTAGCTACAAGTGATTTGGCCAGATCTGACCTGAAGGCCCAGGACTGCCAATCCCTGATATAGAATATGGTATGGTAGTTAAGGCGGCTGGATCCCACATGGCCAACTGTACAGTTTGAATCCTAGACCTGGCAGCTTGAAAAACACGCTGGTTTGGGATCAGCAGACAGTGTAATGGTTATGTCACTAGACTCCCATGTAGTTGACGGTGGTTCGAGTCCTGAACCTGGTGACTTAAAACACACCAGGCACATGTACTTGCATGTCCAAGATCCTGAGAAGAGAATAAAGAAGGCATTGTGGTGTGGCCATCCCCTCTGGGGGGTGATTTCTTGCTTTCTGTCTCTGCCTCTGGCAAGTGCACATGCCCTGTAGCAAAGTTGGGCACAACTGCATGCATGCCCAAAATCCCAAGAGGAGAAAGGAGGAGAAGGGACTATAGCATGGCCATCCTGTTGGGACGTGCTTTCTCACTTTACTTCTTCCTCTTTCCAGCAAGTGCATACACCCTATAGCAAATTTCAAAAGTGTGCATCCTTTATTCACTTTTAAGAATGTATTTAGTTATAAGATTGTAAATAACCTAGACATATAGTTAACAACGGATTCATTATATAATAATCAGCACATTGGGATAATGGAAAACTATCTATTGGGTTATCAGAAAAGTCATGATGCATTTTTGCATAGAAAAACATAGAGGGACCAGCAGTGACATGGTGGTTGGGGCACTGGATTACAACATGGCCGACCATGGTTTGAGTCCCAGACCTGGTTGCTTGCTTTCTATCTCTCTCTCTCATGACCACATGTGCCTGTGGAAAATTTAAAATAAGGGACCAGCAGAAGGTGGAATGGTTACATTGTTGGACCCCCACATGGACCCAGCAGCTTAAGACTCACACATGCATGCATGCCCAAAATCCCAAGAGAATGGATGGGAAGGGATTACAGCGTGGCCATCCCCTATTGGGGGTGATTTCTCACTTTCTGTCTCTCTGGTGAGTGCACGTGCCCCATAGCAAAATCTCTCTCAAAAAAAAGAACTTAATAATAAATTAAATTAAATAACTATTTTTAATAGAAAAATATGTCATGACTTTTCTGACAATCCAGTAGTAATTTGAAAACAGCAAAACTAAGGGCCAGCAGGTAGCATGGTGGTTAAGGTGCTGGCCTCCCACACAGCCAACCACAGCTCAAGTCCTGGCCCTATGGCAAATTGAAAAATAATAAGTAAAATAAAATAAATAAAAATGTAAAAAAATAGCAACACTAAATCTTTCTGCACATACATGGTTATTTCTTTAGGAAGACCTGGGTTTAAGTCCTGCCTCTACTGGTCTCAAGATGTGGGATCTTGTGACGAAGACTCTCATGTGCAACAGTGGCACTGCTGAGGACGTGCACCTGAGCCAGGATCACCTCAGCTCTTCGCCTGTAAGGTAGGCAGTGGGACCTCACGGATATGATAAACAATGTATTGAGAACCACCTGGCGGGGCCAGCAGGTGGCACGGTGGGTAAGGGCGCTGCACTCCCACATGGCTGACCTGTTTGGAGTCCTGAACCTGGTAACTTGCTTTCTCACTTCCCTTCTCCCCTGCTCTGGTCAAATTTAAAAATAAAATAATTCTTTCAAGAAAAAAAAAAGAACACCTAGCAACATAGAACAAGCCAGAAGGAAGGAGGCTTTAGGACAGATGTCCGATTTCCTCCTGTGTGACTTCCCTGTCCACAGCTCAAATTCAAGGGCACTTCCTCTCTACCCAGGAGATTGCACAACCTCCCTATCACTCATTTGGTTCTCTATTCACAACTAGGCTGTAAATCCCTCAACAGCAAGAGCTGTTTTTCTTTTCTTTTTTTTTTTTTAATTAATTGCCAGAGGCTGCGTGTGCTTGTTGCATAGAGAGAGAGAGAGAGAGAGACAGAGACAGAGAAAGAATGCCCCTGTGGTCGTGCCATAGTACCTTTTCCCTCACTTCTCCATTCCATCAGGATTTGGGGCACACATTCACATGTGCCTAGTGTGTTTTTCAAGCTATATGACAGGTATTTGGACCACGGTCAGCCATGTGGGATCTACTGCTAGGCCAGGGGGATGGCCAAGGAGCTGTTTTTAATATAAAAACAAAAAAAACTGGGACCAGCAGGTAGCGTGGTAGTTAAGGGCACTGGACTCCCACGTGGCCCACTGTGGCTTGAGTCTCAGACCTGGTGGCTTGCTTTCTCACTTTCCCTTTCTCTCTCACTTTGTCCCTCTCTGGTTAAATTAAAAATGAATAAAGTTTAAAGTTAAATAAAATAATTCTTTAAAAAAAAAAAACAACTTTGTCCCTGATTTCAATGGTAGTAGCTGCCACATAAGACAGAGTCAAGGTGGAAAACAGAAAAGAGTGAGGAGTTTGAAGTTAGAAATTCGAGGGCACGGGGACCAGCAAGTGGCGTGGTGGTTGAGGTGCTGGACTCCCACAAGGCCAACCATGGCTCAAGTTCCGGACCTGGTGGCTTGCTTTCTTACTCTCCTTTTCTCTCTGTCTCTCTGGTCAAAACTGAAGAATAAATGATAATACATAAAAATTAAAAATAAATAAATCTTTTTAAAAAATTTTGGAGGGGACCAGCAGTTGGCATAATGGCTATATCACTGGACTCCCATGTAGTCGACCATGGTTTGAATCCTGGGCCCAGTGGCTTAAACTCAGACCAGGTGCATGAGCATGCATGCTTAAGATCCCGAGAGGAGAATGGAGGAGAAGGGATTGCGGAGTGGCCATCTCCCCTTGGGGGGGGCGGTGATTTCTCACTTTCTGTCTTTCTGGCAAGTGCGTGCACCCTATAGCAAAAACCTCTCTGAAAAAAAAATTAAAAAAAAAAAAAAGAAAAGAAATTTGAGTTGAATCCTGGCTTCTATCTATTGTTCAGGTTCTATGAGATCTCGGACACTTTTTTATAAAATAATTATTTTATTAATTTTTATCTTGCTATAGTCATCAGAGATGGACAAAGGGTGGGTGGGTGACAAAGCCAGCTGCCAGGTGTGGTACTCGAACTCTGGTCGGCCATGTGGAAGTCCAGTACCCCAACCGCTATGCCACCTGCTGGCCCCAGAGATCCTGGATACTTTAAAACTTCGGAGTTCTGGGTTCTCCATTTGCAACATGGCTCAACCTCTGGTATACACTAGGCATGCACCAAGAATAAAACTGCCTCACAGGGCCAAACAGACCCTGGGATATTAGAGCACCTCCATAACAGACAAAACTAAGAACGTTCTTCCATCTCAGATAAATCTGGCCTAAGTGTTCCTGCTATAAGCTAAGAGACTTCGTATTTCTTTTCTTGTCATTTACAGTAATCAGCATTTTTCTTACTAATTTTCTTTTCGTTTTTTTCACTGCCAGAGAGCGAGAGAAAGGAAGCACCCCTCAGGGTGGTCACGCTGCAGTTCTTTTCCCTTTATTTCTCCAGCCCTCAGGGTTTGGGGCACGCACGTACATGTGCTGGGAGTGTTTTACGCTACCAGGGCAAGGGTTGGTGGCCAGGATCCCGTGGTCAGCCAGGTGGGATCTGGCTTCTTCACATAGCGCTCAACCACTGCACGATGGTGCCGGCCCTAACGGTCCTAGTTTACATCGAATTCTATAGTTCGAACTGCGATTATTTTGTTCTTGCTGCTGTTTCACATATATAATTCTATAACAGAACCATTATTAAAAAGAACATGTTCCCCCAAAAAATCTTATTAAAAAGTATATATTCCCTTCAAAAGTGTTCCCATAAAGAAAAGGTTGACTGAAATATACCCACGTTGAAGATGAGCTGCGCTTGGCCCTGTGAACTGAAGAGAGCTTGTCTGTCAGACGGAAAGGGCCACTTACTGTCTGCCCCAAAAGATACTGACTCGTGACACTCAGATCAAATCAGGAGATGATCAGCATTATCTTCAAAAGCAAGCCAAAGGGTAAGCAGAGGAGGAGAGGGAGGCAGGTGCAGAGGGCGGGTGGTACCTGAGTAGGCGTCGGATCAGCTGCCTGGATCTGAAAGTTCTGGGAGGGCTTCTGGGGGACGGTGGGGAGGGTGGCAGATGCCGCCTGCACCACCCGCAGAGCCTGCTGGGGGATCTGCACCACCTGCTGCTGCTCGGCCTTGGGGGGCACCACCTGGACTTGCTGGACCACAGCTGGCTGACCCCCACCGGGGCTCTGCACAATGAGCAGGTTGTTTCCCGCCTGGATGATGTTGTCCGCCGTGGTCTCGATCAGCACCGTCTCCACCTGCTCAGCTACCGCCACGGGAGGCTGGGAGGCAGGAAGGCTCTTCTTCCGGGCCTTCTTGTTAGTCTTAGACAGTGGGGTGGGGGGGCTCTCCGTGAGGAGCTGGGTGGGGGCCCCGGTGTCAGTGGCATTCACGAGGTTGTTGACTGGCAGAGTGAGCGTCACGTTGCCACCCCCACCGGTCAGCTTCACCACACTGGCCCCACTCTGCACGGAAGTGGTGGCCGTACTTGACTTCTGGACAGGAGCTGGCTTGATGGGAACAGGCTTGTGACTGGACGGTGAGGGAGTAATGATGGCCTGGTTGGTACCAGGGATGATCTGGATCTGGTTGGTGAGATTGGGCTGCACTTGGATGGTCTGGGAGCCGCTTGCCTGAATCTGAGGGACCGCCTGGTACTGGATGTTGGCATTTGACCGGGTTCCTTTGTTGACCATGGTGGGATTCTGGATAGCGAATACCAGCTGCCCTCCAGGGTAGGAGGCGCTCAGTTGCGATCCCTGAATCTGAAGTATATTTCCTTTGGAGGACAAGATTCCGAAACTATTTTTGCCAGGACTGAGAGGGAGAGGGGCAGGCTTGATAGGGACAAGTTTCCGTGGTGTGGGCTGAGGGGGAGCAGGCGGCGTCACAGCAGCTTCAACAGCTGGAGGGCCAATTTTGCTACATGTTGCAGCAAGCAAGGCTAAGGGAGATGGCTGCGAGTCCTGCAGAAAAACAGCAGAGGAAAGGAGTGAAACAGGAAGGCCCGTTGTGGTCCTCCCCTCCTGGTGGTTCAGCATGTGGCTCTTCCCCACTGCTGTGGGAGGCCTTTGCCAGCTGCCTCCCCCTGCAGTGGCTCCTGTCCCCCCTTCCCTGCTGGTTTCTCTGTTAAGTACAGGAGAAATAGTGGGAGATGGCTTTCTCAGGAAGGAACTTCCCACGGACTGAGTGAGCTAATGGTGTGAGCTGGCTGGCCTCTTAAGCCCCACTGGCCCTGCTTCTAATGGGGACAGTGAGTCATCCTTGGGTCTTAGATGGAGTTCCGTTAGCCCATTACAGAGACTAAGAGATCCCTGATAGCTCCACTGAGGAGGGACTGAGGGAGGGAATGAAAAGACGGACCGCAGGAGGAGTAAGCATGCTGCTGAAGTGCCTTCCAGTGCGTGGTACTGGAGTGGGAACGGCTGCTCTTTCAAGGTTACAGTGAAAAGCCTCTGCTTTCCTCTTACAGGCAGTGGCATCTGGTGGAAGAACACCGAGTGCCATCCTGGGTTTTCCCCTGGCCCAAGCGTGGCACCTTGGGTAAATGGCCAGGGTTTCTTAGCTCAGAAACTGTTCTGACAGATCCTCCCAGGCTCCTATCCTCGGGTGTAAATAGTGAGACAGTGAAACAGAGTTGTCATTGTTGTTTAGCATCAGCTCCGGCAAGCCCCCAGCCCTCGGACCCCTGGCCCACTTGCCTGGGTGGTGGAGGCGGCGGGCTGCAGGTAGTCGCTGGGGCTGACAGCGGCAGTGGCAGCCATGCTGGTCTGTGGATCTGCTGGAAGGAGAGATGGAGCAATGCATGAGATACTAGAAAAGGACCCAAGCCCCAGCCTCCGATTTTCTCTTTGCTTCTATTTGTTACTGCTTCTGCAAGAGAGACACTGACCTTTCCCTTCACCTCCCTAGCTAGGCCAGCAGGCGCTCACCTGTTTGAGATGACCTTACCCGCTCCTCAGACTCGCCCTCTGAGGTCTTGAGGACGGCTAGTCCTCACTGCCTCCACTGGACTGCCCCTTTCAGCCACTGCAGTCTGGGATGACAAGATACCCAGACCATCTTCCATAACTAGGAATGCCACACAAGAGAGCCCTGCCTGCTGGGCACTGCTGACCCTCCCTAGCTAGAAGCCCGGGATGGTGGGGGGTGGGGGTGGCTCAGCCTCTCACTCGAATTCGAGCTTCCTGCTCACACCTACTATAGCCAATGCCAGCCAGCTGGAGAGAAGCGCAGCTAGGCCAGGATTCCTGACAAGGAGGACAGGCCTGCTCCATCCCAGGGTCTTGGGTGTTCTTTGCTTAGCCTTCACCACAAACGCACAATGGCCCAGGCATCGATCAATAGAATGTGGGTAATTTGCATTAAATTAATTTATACTTTTACACAGGACAGCGGGTATGGTCCCCTCAGTATCACCAAGACTAGCAGAGCTAAGGACTGACTCTAACAAGAATGAAAACAGGGAACCAGCAGTTAGCGTAATGGCTATGTCGCTGGATTCCCATGTAGTCGACCGCGGTTCGCGTCCCGGACCCGGTGGCTTAAAACTCACACCGGGTGCATGTGCCTGCGTGCCCAAGATCCCGAGAGGAGAATGGAGGAGAAGGGATTGCGGCGTGACCATCCCCCCTGGGGGGTGATTTCTCGCTTTCTATCTCTATGTCTCTCTCTGTCTGTCTGGCGAGCGCACGCGCCCTATAGCGAAAATCTCTTAAAAAAAAAAAAAAGAATGAAAACAGAGTTGATTCTATTTCTGTTTATATGTATATATATTTCTATATATGAATATAGCCAAGGAGGAAAAAGTATTTTTAAAATAGCTATTATCTCTTTTGCTTGACTTGAAGAATTTTTGTCATTTTTCTGTATTTTCTACCATTACTATTTTTTTATATAGGAAAATAAAGAAGGTTGGGGGAAGTAATGAGAATTTCTACACATAAGTCTGATCTAAAACAAAAACAAGATAAGACAAATGGAAATCATTAAGAATTTGGGAAGAAAGAACCGATGTCATCTTAGAGTTCATGAATCACTAAGAAAAATACAGGGAAGAGTCAGACTTGTACCCGACGCCTTTGGAAAGCAGACTTCAGGAAGTACAGAAACAAGAAAAATCTTTACTCTGGAGACACAAGACAGTGAGGCTCAGGGACTGAGCTCCTATAGGGCATTTTTATTTGAGGGTTTGTGTGTGTGTGTGTTTTAAGAGATTTTTGTGGTAGGGTGTGTGTGCTCTCCAGAGAGACAGAAAGTGAGAAATCACCCCCCAGGATGGATGGCCACGCCACAATCCCTTCTCCATTCTCTTCCCAGGATCTTGGGCACGCATACACACACAAGCACACAAGCGGCTGGATCTGGGATTCGAGCAATGGTAGGCTACACAGGAGTCTAGTGCCTCAACCACTATGCCACCTATTGCCCCACCCTCAGGGACATTTAACCAGAACAGGATCGAGACTGAGGAGAAAGCAGCAGCATTCATGTTTTGGTTGGCCTCTGGCTCTCTTTGGGAAAATGATTCACAAACAGGAAAAGCAAGGGAAGAATGAAGGAGGAACTGAAACCCAGGACACGTGAGAGCTGGGGACGTCACCAGTGCCCTGAGTGGTTACGGCCCTCACACTGCATCACAGGTTAGGAGACCTTGCAGACACATGTGCAAGCTGTGTGGGAGCCAGCTGGAGGGCAGCTCTGTGATGAACTGTGTATATGGATCCTGAAATAGTACAGATGTTTATCTTGGGCAAAATCCTGTTACAGATAACGAACAGCCCTGTAATTACTGAGGGGAGGAGGCCAGCTCTGTAGCCTAGGGGTTAAGGGAGCTGAGTCCTATGTGGCTGACCATGGTTGGAATCTCAGCCCGTGGCTTGAAAAACACACTGTGTGCACATGTGCCCAAAATTCTGACAGGTTGGAGAAGGGACTGAGGAGTGAGTGTAATACCATTGGGGGTGCTTTCTCTCTCTTCCTCTCTTTTGAGCATGCGTCCTCTGGCAATTAAAATTTTTTTTTTACTGGGACCGGCAGATGGCATAATGGTTACATTGCTGGACTCCCACATAGTCAACCGCAGTTTGAGTCCTGGACCTGGCGGCTTAAAACTCATGCCAGGTGCATGTGTGTGTGTGCCCAAGATCCCAGAAGGAGAATGGAGGAGAAGGGACTGCAGCATGGCCATCCCTCTGAGGTGTGATTTCTCGCGTTCTATCTCTCATCTCTCCAGCGAGTGCTCGCGCCCTATAGCAAAAATCTCTCTAAAAAACGACAAAAAAATTACTGAAGTAAGGAGGAGGTGATCACCACTTGTGGTGATAAAGAATAAATCATATTCAGCAAATCTCAGCGTCCTTTTTTTAGGGTTTTGAATGAACACATCAGGAAAATGGCATACACCACACATTTAATTTCAACAAGACATCTCGTGGAACTTTCCTAATATTCTTGTGAACAAGAAGGGAAATGCGGGGACCAGCAGTTAGCATAATGGCTATGTCGCTGGACTCCCATGTTGTCCACTGCGGTTCGAGTCCTGGACCCGGTGGCTTAAACTCACACTGGGCGCGTGTGTGTGTGTGCCCAAGATACCAAGAGGAGAATGGAGGAGAAGGGATTGCGGCGTGGCCATCCCCCTTGGGGGGTGATTTCTTGCTTTCTGTCTCTCTCTCTCTTTCTCTCTGTGTCTGTCTGGCGAGCGCACGCACCCTATAGCAAAAACCTCTCAAAAAAAGAAGAAAAAAAAAAAAAAAAGGGAATGTGGGCCGGATGATAGTCTAGTTTGTGGGCTAAAGCTGAACCTGCTTCAGCCCAAGTACTGAGGTGTTTGCTACTGCAAGGCCAACCAAGGTGTCTCAAACTTGGGGGGGGGGGGTTCCAGGACCAGGGTCAACAAGCAACTTCTTTAAAAAACATACTTGTTTATTTATTATTATTTTTAAGTTTGCTATAGGTCATGTGTGCTCACCAGAGAGAGAGAGAAAAAGTGAGAAAGCAAGTCAAGACATCCAAGACTCCAACTGCGGTCAGCCATGTGGGAGTCCAACACCTTTACCACCATGGCACCTGCTAGCCCCTGCAAGCATCTTCTTTTTTTTTTTTTAGAGGTTTTTGCTATAAGACACATGTGCTCGCCAGACAGACAGAGAGAAACAGAAAGACAGAGCGAGAAATCTCCCTCTGGGGGGATGACCATGCCACAGTCCCTTCTCCTCCATTCTCCTCTGGGGATCTTGGGCATGCATGCACGCACACCTGGTATGAGTTTAAGCCACCAGGTCCAGGACTCGAACCACAGTTGACTACATGAGAGTCCAGAGACATAGCCATTATGCTAACTGCTGGTCCCCCTACAAGCATCTTTTTATTTATTTATTTTTATTGAGAGTTTTTTTTTTGCTGTAGGGTACGTGTACTCACCAGAAAGACATAGAGAGACAGAGAGACAGAAAGTGAGAAATCACCCCTCAGGGGGATGGTCATGCCATAATCCCTTCTCTTCTATTCTCTTCTCCGGATCTTGGGCACACATGCACACACGCCTGGTGTGAGTTTAAGCCGCTGGGTCCAGAACTTGAACCACGGGCAACTACATGGGAGTCCAGTGACATAGCCATTATGCCACCTGCTGGTCTCATCTCTACAAGCATCTTTTAAAAGACCTATCCATTCTTGTTTTCATTGTGGTGATTATTTTTTTTAACATTCATTCATTCATTCATTTGTTGTGATGTTCAAGCTGCTGGGTATGGGACTTGAATCACAGCTGGCCATGTGGGAATCCACTGCCTTAACCACCATGCCACCTGCTGGCCACGGTGATCGTATTTAAAATGTACACATGCCACAGATTATTGTGTGCCTGTTGCTTATTCAAACCCTGTACATCTCAGGGCCTGTGTGGGGTAATTAGGACAGCCTCACTCTCCACACTTGATTCCTGATACATCTGCAAAGTGAAGGATGATGTCTCCAAAGGCAGGGGGAGAACAGTGTCACCCAGCATTAGTGTACTTGCACAACTCAAGGAGCCCCAAGAGCAAGTCTATACCACACTTAGGCCGAGAGCCTAAGTGGTCTGGGTTCAATCAAATGTCGTCCTCCCAGAATAATGTTGTTGATTTGAATTTTGCTGTTTTTTTCCTAGTTACCTGTTAACTTTAAAAGCTAGATCGATGAGCTGACACACAGATTTATGTTCGTACAAAATTAAGTTGTAATGTTATAATGAAAATAAGTCACCCCGTGGGGTCAGCAGGTGGCGTGGTGGTTAAGGGCGCTGGACTCCCCCATGGCCAACCATAGTTTGAGTCCTGGACCAGGTGGCTTGCTTTCTCACTTTCCTTTTCTCTCTCTCTCTGGCTCTGCCCCTCTCTGGTAAAATTAAAATAAATAAATAAAGGTAAAATAAAAATTCTAAAATAAATAAAGAAAAGAAGTCAGCCCCAAACCATTTTTCCATTGCAGTGGTGTTCACAGTATTAGACCATGAACCACAGTTATAAAAACAACTTACATCAAGACCCAGCACATGTACACATATGTGTACAGGCCCCCATTCTGTGCTCGTGCAATAATAGTTTCCTTAAACAAAATTTGCCCTTATTACATGTGATGGATTTTGGTATTTTTCTTCTTCTTCTTTTTTTTTTGTTTTAGGTTTTTGCTGTAGGGTGTGTGTGTGCTGTCTGGAGACAGAAAGAGAGAGGGAAAGTGAGAAATCGCCCCAGGGAAGATGACCATACCACATTCCCTTCACCATTCTCTTCTTGGGAT